AAGGTTGTGTTTTTGTGGGGGCTGTTGTCTTTCCTATGTCTTAAATAATAATCTGTACTCTTCATCACCTCCCATCCTCCTTGCAGTTGGAAATTTTCAGTAAGCTTTTCATTCTTTACTCTCTCCTGTGAAGCCTTTCTACATTTTCCCTTAGATAATTAATTACTCTTCTGTACCTTGTTCATGCCTTTACTATTGTACCTGCTATAATTATTTACTCATATGATCTTGAAGGTAAGAAGTTATATGTAACATAACCGGAGTCACAACTTGATTTTTGTAAAGGCCTCATTACACCTTTGATACTCTGCCAGACTCATTGGTACTAGGCCAGTGCAGAGACTACAGAAGAAAGTTATGGTTTGGTGTATTAGGTAAAAAAAAATTAAATGATATGGTCAAATATTTTGTATATCTCAATAAAGTGAGAATTTATGAGGTTGTGTTGTGTTGTGTGTGTGTCTAAATGGGATTATGTCTGATATGGTAAATTTTCATTGTTGAGTGCTGAACAGGATGAAATAACTGCCACTGTTTCCTGCCTTCTCTTTATTTCTTATATTCTACAATTTAAAATGTAGATAATGTGTAAGAATTCTGGTTATTTGAGATTTTTGTACATTTTCCATAAAGAGCTAAAATAAATAACTTCACCACATGGCAGTTTCCAACCATTCAGAACTCCTGTTTAGGGGATCTGATATCTTCTTCTGATCTCTGCAGGCGTACACATGGTGCATAGTCTTCTTATATATAAGCAAAACACTCATACAGTAATATGATACAGTAATATGAATCTTAAGAAGAACCTTAAAAACTAGTATCTCTGCTTTTGTTAATTTGGCTTTTAATATCCTGATATGTACTGTCCCATAAATAACTAAATAAATTGAAATTGATCTTTTAGTTCACTTTTAGCAAGGTCATGGATAATTAGGATCTGAGCCATTATCAAATCTAAGACCATCAGGAATGGGGAGATAAGCCAGTAAAGTGCTTGCTTTGCAAGGGTGAGGACCTGAGTTTGGGCATGGCAACAAGGCTAACTAACCTTAGGCTCCAGCTGTGGCTCTGGTGGTTGGGGTGGCTGGCCAGTTGGGCTAGGCAAAGTCTTTTGTGTCTGATTGAGAGAGAGACTGACTGATAGAAGAAGCTGCCAGGTATTGACTTCTAGCCTGGCACGCTGTACACATTTATCTCAACACACACACACACACACACACACACACACACACACACACACACACACACACACCAATCAAAAATAAGCTATCAGACTTAATAAAGACAAAGTTTGAGCTTGCAATATGATACTGTCATTTCATACTGTTTTCAGAGCAGTGTTTGGAAGAAGTTTAGTTTTTGTAAGAAGTGCAAGGAGTCCCAGGTGAAAGGGGTAGTAATGCCACTAAGGGGAAGAAGGTAAACAGTTTTCCTGACTTGAGATTGAAGCTGAATTTGCTTTTCTATTGGCCACCAAGAGAATCATGTCTGATTAATGATGTTACTAAAAGTACTCATTTATAATTAACAATATAGAAAACCTCACTTGTACCCAAGTTAAACAATAATTTCCTTTGCCTGTTTGTCTATTAGACTTGATACTTTGCCATATAGAATTGTATAAAGGCCAGTAATATGGTTATGGGAAAAGAAACTGTTATTAAGTCACTTGGGATTTATCCAATTCTCAAAGTTTACAGTACTTTTTAGATGTTCTAAATTTAGTTGTATAGCAGGGATTGTTAGAGGTATTTATGAATATGTTTCTGAACAGGTAATATGATATTACCTCTTAACTCTGTATGTGGAATAACATCCCCCCTTATTTGTTATAAATATTACATCTAAATCTTGTAAAATAGTGCTCAAAATATCCTATTATAATTGTCCATCAATCATTGTTGCTACCCTTCTTTTGAGAACTAGAAGAGGAAAGAGAGGGAAAAAATACTGCTGCCCTCTTCTGATAGCTGGAAGGGTGACTGGGAAGTGTAGAGTCTGTAGCAAGGCAGTGACCCCAAAAGTGCATAGGAGAGATGTGTAGACACTGTTGGTGGGTTATAATCACTAGCTTGATTCAGATACCAATGCAACATTTTTCTTGGTTTTTGTTTGTTTGTTTTTGTTTTGTTTTTGACTTTCCTGGAATTCACTCTGTAGACCAGGCTGGCCTCAAACTCACAGAGATCTGCCTGCCGAGTGCTGGGATTAAAGTCTTGCACCATCACCACCCTGCTTAGTTTATTTTTTTTAAGTAGTTATTTTTATGAAGTTTCAGATTTTATTTTTCATTTGATAAAATTAGGTCTTTTAATGATTCCATACTTAGGTTTTTAAAATGCAGATTGTGTGTGTGTGTGTGTTTGTGTTTGTGTTTTCTTTCAGTAATAGGTTGTATGATCTAATGTTAAAAGTCAAAGAATCAGGAACCAGACTACCTGGAATTCAGTGCTATCTTATCACTTGCTTGGTACTTTCCAAAAGCTGCTAAAGTGCTTCTGTACTTTAATTCTTTAAATCTGTAAGTGGGGATTATAATAGTCCTTGTTTTAACGATTAAGTGACATGTGTGTTTAGAATACTATGTAGCATCTGATATTAATTACTAGGAAAGTATTGTTACTCATGGCTATTTATTTATTCCTAGAGCCTCAGTCATTAAAGTATACATACATTTTACCATTGACTCAATCTCTAGCCCAGCAGCTGTGTTGTTTTGAGATAGGGTCTCACTATGTATCCCTGTCTGTCCCCTGGTACTTTAGTTTGAATATTCTTGTACTAAAATTTCCTGAGATTAGACAATATTTCTTTCAAATATTATCAAGTGTTCAAAATTAGAACTACTGGTTAGTACCATGAAGGCTGCTAGTATTGTGATTTTCCGTTTCCTTCTTTCTGCTTGTTAGCTTAATTTAAGCACACCTGAAGAGAGATTCCTAAAGGGTCATGATTCACTTCCTCAGACACCAAGCTTTCTCAATGTTGGAACCATGTTTTATTTCATCTTTAAATCACCCAAACCTAAATTTGCCTTGTGTTTATTTGGTAGCTCCATTAGGGGGAAAAAGAAGATGAGTGCATTTATACATTCTTTTTAGATAGATGATCAAATAGAAATCTTTTTAGGCTCCTAACGGATGTGTGATCTTTGGGGTTAGTTGTCTAACCTATCTTCTATTTCAATGAAGCACATGTGAAACTTTGTGTTTGGTTTTGTAAAACTATAATCATGTTACTTCTTTTTAAAGTCTGGATAACTGCCTAAACACCTTGTTGGTTTTCACATTATTTCAATATGTTTCATTTGTTTGGATAAGAATAAGTAGTATAAATAGTTTGCCAAATTTCTTAGTTGTGTTCTTTTTGTTGTGGACTTCGGCGTATAGACAAAAACACTGCAGATATGAGTGTAGTTTTTCTGCTCTTACATAGTGCCATTTTTGTGCCTCTTGTACAGTTTCTGGTCCATAATGTCATCAGTTGGGAAAGGTAGTTACCTGGAGGTAACACCATTGTATGAGAGTTTGAGGTAATTGAACCTAAGGTCTCATGAATGCTAAATACCACTGATTTATACACACTAATATTCTTTGCCCAAACTTTCATGAAAATGAGGATGTCTCTGGGTGGTGGCATTTCTGTAGCTGTGCTTATCTTCAGCTCTGCCAAATGACATCATCGTCCTCCAGATGGCCAGATATTTACCAGCTCACCAGCAGTGTGGGGGCATTCTCACTGCTTTGCCTTGTTACTTTTGCTGATCTTATGAATATGAAATAGCGTTCCTTGATATTTTATTTTAATAGCGTTCCTTGATATTTTAATTTGTATTATCCGGTAACTAGTATCCTTGATCCTCTTTATACATGTTGTTAGCCACTTGAATTTCCACATGAGTACTTCTTTACTTTTTAATTTTAGAAAGTATCCATTTTCATGGCATGTTTTTATGTTGTTCAGTTTTGTTTTTCTTGATTTTATGTGCAGCTGTTTTTAATTCTCAAAGTCTATATATTCATGAAAAATCTTCCCCTTAGTGACTACGATAACTAGGATTTCGCTATTTTATGTTGAATAATGTAGTCTTCTCAGATTTTTTCCCCCTATTCCTGTTTGCCAGACATTACTTTTCTTCATTTTACTCAAATATTCTCTTGCCCTGTCAGATGAGAAGTTGGTGATACTCAGGGGAATGAATAAGAAATATAACAGTACACGAGTGAAAAGTGGACAATTTTATAAAATTGAAGTAACCATGTGTAAAGTACTTTAACATATTCTCATGACTGTCTTTTTTTCTTAATTAGAAGTGCATTTTAGACTTGTCATTGTACAACCAATACCACTTGTTTGATGTCTTCATTGCTTCAGATGTTTACAATTGCATGAGTTGTGTATTTGAGGTTCCAGCAGAGCATTTTTTGGCCCTGAATGCTTGAGATGGTCCTTTGTCTCCTCTAAGAGCATTGAATTAACAATTGAAAACTTCTTCAGCCAGTGTCTTTGATTAGTGCAAATATGTGTGCGTATGCGTGCGTGCGTGCGTGCGTGCGTGCGTGCGTGCGTGCGTGTATTTCCAGCACTCAGACTAAGGCCAAAGGACTTGAATGTTAGGCCAGTGGACAAAGAATGAAACACCAAAAAAACCAGGG